TACCCGAAATGACTTCCAAATATCCTAAAGATGGCACTAAACTTAGGCATGAAGAGATCTAATTAAAGATACGCCAAGGCAACGACTTTATACCTCCAAAATGATGTTAGGATGAAGTAGAGTCAGATCCACAAGCTCCTCTTGGTCCAAGCTTCTTATACTTCACACCTTCTTCACAAAATGCACCAATGTCACTCTTTAAGCCTCACAATCACTCAAGAACAAGGTTAATAGCGATTAGAGTTTCGTCTGGCCATCAAGGGGTGATAAGGGACTGGAGGAAAGGACATAAGGTCCTTTAAATAGGGTGCAAACCCTAAAAATTAGGGTTTCATCTCCCAGCTCCTACTCGTCGAGTCCAGGTCCTCCGACTCGTCGAGTAGATCCAATAATCCACGCGGACTAACCCGCCTCTACACGACGAGTTAGGGGTAACCAACTCGTCGAGTAGGTCCATAAATATGTATATAACGCTTTAAAACTTGTACCTAGGAGTCGGGGTGTTACATTGGAAAACTTGGTTGTAAACCAGTTAATACACCTCTTAATCTGAATATTATTATTAGTGAGAAGGGTTTTGATGAAAAAGATTATTCGTTGGATAATATTACTGAATATCAAAAGCTTATCGGGAAGTTAATATATCTTACTATTACCAGGCCAAATATTTCTTTTACTGTTCAAACTCTTAGTCAGTTTATGTATTCTCCACGAAAGTCGCATTTGAATGTTGCTTTTCAAGTGTTAAGGTACTTGAAACAGAATCCTTGTAAAGTAATTAATATTGTTAAGAGTGAGACTATATGTTTGTCTACTTATGTTGATGCAAACTGGACCAAACGTGTTTCTTCCAGAAGGTCTAGTTTTATATTTATTTTGGCGAGTCTATAGTTTCTTGGAAAAGTGAAAAACAAGAAATTGTTTCAAGGTCCTCAACTGAATTAGAATATAGAGCTTTAACATCTGTTATATGTGAGATAATGTGGATTTTGAAGTTATATTTTGATTTAGGGGTTAAAAATTTGTTTTCTAGTAAAAGTGTTTTGTGATAATGATTCAGCTATTAAATTGGCTCTTAATCCTGTCTTTCGTGAAAAGACAAAACACTTTGAGGTTGATGTGCATTTTGTTAGAGATAGAGTTTCCAAAGGGATTTTAAAAATTTTAAAGATTGCTTTTGAGAATCAGAGAGTTGATATTTTCACAAACTCTTTACCAGCCAAACAACATGAGTTTTGATGTTGTCAGTTGGGTTTGTTTGATCCATTTAAGGTTTATTGAAGTTTTGTTATCACCCCTCAATGTTAATCTTGAGGGGGGGGGGGGGGGAGTGTTAGAAATTTTAAAGGTTTTTTGTCAAGATTAACATTTTAAGAAATATTTATTATCAGGGTAAGTAATGTAATTTATGAGGATGTGTTTTGTGAGTAAAATTCTTGTGCAGGGTGTGTTTCGTTTTTTTTTTTATGTTTCTTTAGGATTGCGACTCATTATTTGGAATTCCACACAAACTCTTTACCAGCCAAACAACATGAGTTTTGATGTTGTCAGTTGGGTTTGTTTGATCCATTTAAGGTTTATTGAAGTTTTGTTATCACCCCTCAATGTTAATCTTGAGGGGGGGGGGAGTGTTAGAAATTTTAAAGGTTTTTTGTCAAGATTAACATTTTAAGAAATATTTATTATCAGGGTAAGTAATGTAATTTATGAGGATGTGTTTTGTGAGTAAAATTCTTGTGCAGGGTGTGTTTCGTTATTTTTTTTATGTTTCTTTAGGATTGCGACTCATTATTTGGAATTCCACATAAACACGCGGTCTTTTTTTCGGGTATGGTTCAGGGTTTGAATCTGGGTTAAACCGGACTTGAACCGTGTGTTGTACACGAAGTATATATACTTGGTTTGGAGTTCTGTGAGATCATAATCCAGTCTCAAACTTTGTATCTGATATTTTTGCTCTCGTTTCCTTCACTCGTCTTCTTCGTCTAGATTAGGGTTTTCTATTTTGTCTTAGTCGAGTCTGATTAAATCAGTGTTTTGTATCTTGTTGTTCTTTTTTTGAGTGTGTGAGTTTATGTAGGTGGGGTTTTATTTGTAAGTTCCTGAAAACCAACTCGATCTTATTTCCCATTAATGAAAAGTTTTGTTAATGTTGTGATTATATGTTCTTTGTGTTAGTTTGAGTTTTTGAAAAACCATGACATATCATCTATAATGTTCATATATACATATGAGAATAAGAGAGTGATAACTTAGAGTTACACTAAAAAGAAAGAGATAGAGAGCTCTACGTACCTTGACTCCGATAGAGACGAGAGCATGAAAAACAAATACAATATTGTTAACATCAGTTTGGTTTGCTCTTGTGAGGATAGAGAGATATAGAGAGCAAGAAGACGGAGAAGAGTAGATGACTGAGCTTACGAGGACAAGAACCAAGAAGTCTGGTGAGTTGCGGTGGAAGAGTTATGTTTTCAAATCCATGAAGATCCAACCAAAATCTTTTGCCATTCCAGTGAGCTGTAGGGTGGTGGTGATAGCATTTACGCTCCACTTCCGAGTTCACTAAAGGAAAGAAAAGAAAAGAAAATGAGTGAAAAGAAAAAGAAAGGGATGATCTTCGTTTCCTTTCTCTCCAATTCCTACCGATTTGGAAGAACAGTTTATTAGGAAAATTAGTATAAATCTTCATTTTCTTTTTTTTTTCTTCCTTCCAATAATTAAACTCGGGAGCAATTATTTCTTACCTATCCTCCCACTTCCTTTCTTTTCTCTCCTTAAATGAAACTCTGGATCAATGTGTTGGGGTTTTCTATTGTTTTGATGATTTAGGTTAAGAATTGGCTTTTTGGTATTTTTATAAAGTTAATTCATTATTGAGTTTTTTAAGTTAAATTACTTTTCGATTCGATAACATCTCAAGTTACATTAGTTTTCAATTTGATAAAATTTTCTAACAAGATAATGATAGTTATGATTTTTCTAAAATCATATTATATAAACTTGTATTTAAGAAATAAAAATATGGAGAGGAGCTTACTTTTATATTTTAAGATAGTTTGTATGTTTATTGATTCAATAGTTGTTGGTAATAATTAGATAAATAAAAAAAAAACTTGAGGGGCCATGGCCCCTCTGCCCACTTCTATGTTCCGCCACTACGGGTTGGTTATCCATAGTTTCTAGTTTTGAGGTTGGTTAGGATGGTTACACTTTCAGGGGTACATTGTTTCTTTTGAAAGTTCAAGTGAACATAGTTTCAATGTTGAGATTGTAGTAATAATATGGCATAAAATTAATTGTCTTGGTATCAATTCTGCAAATAATAGAAAATTCTTGTCTAACATTCTTTTTTACCATATAATAGGCTTACATGAACTAATTTTTTCATGAGAATTTTATGTTTTTGTACCTGTCCTCTCTCATTCGACAAGTATAAGAAATCCCATTTTTTTTTGTCAATCTTCATTCATTCTTTGCTAATTATTCTTCAAAATAACAAGAGTTCTAATTCAACATTTGCAAAACAAATGAGATGGTTAATGTATATCAAAAGGACAACATGAATAGTGTGACGATAAAGCTGCGTTTGGCGCTAGCTGAAAAGCTAGTTGGTAAGTGAAAAGATAGCTGAAACATATATAATTACACAAAAATGCATTTTCAGAAATTAGTTTTCTATAACTAATTATGGGTATATTGGAGAAGTTTGTAAAAAAGCTCCTGAAAAGCTACTCCAAATAGCTTTTTAAAACCTAGTTTTTTGGCTTACCTAAAACTCAAAAAAGCTCGAAAAATAAACTAGCTATTTTCAACTATTTGCGGCGTACCAAACGTAGTCTTAAGATTGTCAAGATCTCATATATGTTTATGATATATCAGTAATTTGATAAGACCTTCACTAAAAGAATGTAACTTATATGCATAAAGTGGTATGCTTATATTTAAAGTGCATTCAAACGTTAAAAAAAAAATACAGTTTTATGGTATGAAATTATTTTCTGATAAATACCTTTTTGTAACACCATTGCTAAAATGAAGATGGATCCAATATAATATAAAATCCTATAACATGAGTGTCTCAACCTACTCCAAATATTTATTCTTTAGATTTTCTAGTTTGGTTGCTCACCCAAATATAGAGTTAGGTCATTAACAATCCAAAGGCACACTTACATATAGACTTTTATCCCAAAATGTATTTAAAATCATAACTATAAATTGGGTTATACATAAAGATCTATCACTAAGTTAACCATATTTGAGTGTCAATATAACAAATTGCCCAAATTTTCATCTTTCATCACAAGATAACCACCTACTCAGCAAAAGAAGGATATGTAAACTCGTGATTTATTTATTTATTTATTTTTTCTGAGGAAAACCTCAGGAGCATAATGTATGTTTTGTCAAAATAGAGTATGATTTTTTTTTAAATAGTTTATCTTGTATAGTTTATTTTAATTTCTCAAAATTTGTTAAGAAAAATATATCTTATAAATCTAACCAAAATAAGATGTAGTGGAAATGGTTAATGTCCACTGTTCCTAAGGCTAGAAGTTGGTTTAAAACCCAACAAAGACAATACATATTTAATTTTTCCACTTCCACTTGTATAGACATTTGATGAGATTTTAACCCAAAACCTAAGCTCTAGAAACCATACTCATTAATTATTGCTTATAGACCATATTTTGTTTACATCCCAAATTACCAAGACCTTTTTTTGCAAATTAGATTATATTTTGTGATAAAATATGAAAGCTGGTCATGTGGATATTTGACACCCAAATATGACATTTTAGTGTATTTGACACCCTCATTAACAACAAGGATTACTTTTTGGGACTGGGACTGGGACTGATGTCAGTGGAACAAAACTCAAAATATATAGAAACACGAAAACACATTTTGATAATAAGATGACTTTTATATTTGCCAAAGAGAATCCATACTTTCAAACAAGCAAATAACATATGAACAAATACGATAATTTCAAACTACTCTATATCTATAGGATTATTCATATTGTGCCCTTCTGCTTTCTCTACCAATTCAGAAGGAAAATTGTCTCTAAGAATCTGAACTTTGAACTTAACAATACCACCATGTACGCTTCCCTCCATTAAGTCAAACAAACAAACATCTCCAACTGCAAGATTGTTGTCTATCACAAATTTTTCCCATGTTTGGTTTTCAAACTTTTTTGTACCTTGATCACCAATGTAAACGAGATCCCAAACCTTTCCTCTGTATACAATCTTAGCAGAAACCATAGCAGCAGGAAGCTTTTCCGATAGTCTACGTGGAAATGTCTGTGCAAAAAATAGCAATGTAATTTCATTTATTTGATTATTATAGCATTCTACTTTTACTTATTCCAATTCAAGTGTTACACTTTGAAATATTTACTTAATTATAAGAAACATTTTTCAAATTATAATGTCTAGATAAGGCAGAGGGTTTAACTGTAAAAGTAGAATGATGTAATAAACAATACCATTTGAAACCTGGTTGCAAGGTGTAATTTGTTAAGAACCACATAGAAATATGGTTTCCCAGATAGTGGCCAGAATTCATCATCTTCTTGTGTTTTAGGTATTGTGGATTGAGAAGTTTTTCGGGGATCAAAATTGCTTGGTGATGAATCCATCTAGAGATAACTGCTTACAAAATCTTCTTGCTTGTTTCTCCTGATTATTTTGGCGTTCAAAAATAAAAAGTTTAGATTGAGAATGGAGCTTGCAAAAACGATCCCTAAAGCACGGTAGGTCAACCGATTGGTTTTCCGGCGAACTGTAATCGACGAACTCCACTGTTGTGGTGACGATTCACAGATCAGTGACATTTGATTCACGATTTTATCAGGACATGTCAATCAATTTTCTTCCATTCAGAATATAAGCTGATATATTTTAAACTTTCATGGATGAATTAGGATTCGTACCTCTATATTTCTTCAGTGGCACCGACCTGCATTCGAAATCCCCCCAGGTGCTGATTCACTACAGTCTACAGGGGTACCATTCTCGACCTCGCCGCCATGTTCTGATACAGAAAACTATTTCCAACTAATTGGTAATCGTAGGCAATTGATTTGGGGTTACAGTTTCTCCTCCCAAAATATTAATTTTAAGAGTAAAATACAGTTTTGGTCCCTATGGTATATGGTTTGCACAACAAACAAATCATCTCTCATGGTCCTACTATTGAGGCCGATATGATTTTGTATGTTATATTATTTTAAAATTAAGGGACCAAATGTGTAAACTATAAAAAATGGCTAAAAGCTTCACGCTTTATGTGTCTCCCTAAAAGCTCCATTGAAGCTTCATGTTTTAACACACGATAAGCCCTAGATAAACCCTACCATCTTTCACTCCCCATCATTATAGCTTACCTCCTTCGATAACCACTGCCACCGTTTCATCCTCCCATCAACGCTTTACGCTTCATCCTTCCCAGGGGTTGAGCCAGAATTTTGGAATGAAGAAGACTTAAATCGTAATAAGAAGCTAAAGTGTATTTTTATATATGAATAACTTAATAGGGTCAGTGGATTTGAAAGATAAATTAATAAATAAAAACCGTCTAAAGAGCATATTTTAGCACAAGATCATCAATGTTTTTGATATAAAAAGCATTTAACCAAGGAAATTCCTTTGATTTCTTAAGTTAGGTTGTTCATCATGACCTCTTAAAACACATGTACGAAACACGAGCCATTTAATAGCCTCAATAGAGACTTGCAACATAGCCTACCATCACGTTTGTGACTTGGATAACTTAATATCGAAGGTCGTTATTCGGGTTCACGGATTAAGGAATCTAAGTTTACCTCTCTTAAATTTGAAGTATCATTTTTTAAGGTTGAATATTAATTGGTTATTCAAAATTACTATTCCCTTCATGTCATTATGAGCATTTTCTCTGATATTATAACTAACCATATGTAATTATGGGTCATAAATAACTTTTTTTCATTTGAAAAAAATTTATGGTTCTTTTCTTGTTCAAGATTTACCTACCTTAGGATTATATGATTTACCATTTGATTATAAAAACTAATCATAATAAATCATTTACAAATTATATTGTTAAAAAAATAACTAGAAATTATACAAAACTTAAATGTGCAATAACTAATAAGATTTAAATTATTTGTTATTGAAATTGACATTGTACAATAGAGGGTTAAAAGCAAGGTTGTATATCGTTGAATATAATAAAAAATTTAAAATTTATGTAATTGCCAAATTCCTAAAAGCCTTAGACAGTTCAAAATATTGGGCCAAGATGATAAAAACAATTGGATTAAGTGATGAATTTCAATGTCAGGAAATGAAGAATAATCTTTTGGTAAATCAAATAAGAATTGTTGGGGGAGGCAAAGCACCTGCTACCCCCCCCCCCCCAACCCCCACCCCCACTGCATCTGCCTCTGATCCTCCCATCAACACCCATGTGTCTCCGCCACTTATCTTCTCTAACCATCGCTTTCTTCCCGTGAATTTGATAATGTTTTTCATTTACCCTACATTTATGAACGAAATAACAACACCTGAGGAAGATAATTAGATGAAGAATCATAAGGGTACGTGTCCTCAACCCACTTTATCCTTAAAATTCTGATTTCCCCATTCGTTTTTTAAGATATTGGAGATTTATAGTTCCCTAAACATGGAGAAGCTCGTAAGTTGCTTTTAGATGGCGCTCATTGTACTCGATATGCGGTGTACACAGACAATATGAAGATTTACTAGACACGAAATTCCTTATAAAACTGATTTTTTTTTGGTTTGGTGACGTTCACGGGTAACATAAAAAAGGAAGAACATAGCTCAGGATTCTGAATTACGCGCCTCGTAAGCTTGATGAATTCGAGAACAATGCGGCCACTTGCACCCGCGCCTCGTAATTAGGATACATGTGCCTCGTAATTAAGTCTATAGGAAAAGTATAAATAATGCATTTTCTTTGACATAGTAAGAACATACACCGAATATACAACAAAGAGTAGTTGTTTTGCGAGCCCAGAGGGTGATTTGAAGGTTGGAAGGATGACTAGGAGCAGGATTACATGATAGCCCTTAACAACCCAACATTAGCATCTTACCTCTCTTTTTCATGTTTGGTTACTTCGTAATGCTTACATAATCGTGTAAGACATTTAAATGATCGTGTAAGACCTTTAAACGATCATGTAAGACCTTTACACGATCGTGTAAAGCCCGTGGATGTACATTAAGGTAATGAAATTTATAACATATACTTTAACAACCCATAACTTCCTCATGCGAACTCTTATTTCGACTGATTTTATATACATGAAGTCGTCTCGAAGTAAAGTACAACTTTCTTGTACAAAACATACACCAAAACGTTCTCCATTTTTACTTACGATATGACAAACATAAGGGTATATGATGCTTTTAAGATAACAATCAAGAAGTACATATTTTCTATCAATATCCTTTATAATCTAACATAATACCCTTTATAACTACAAAGTCTCAGTATCGGGTAATTAAAAGTTCTCTTCCCCTCAGAGAGATTTCGTCCTCATAATCTCTTTTTAAACAAGTGAAGGTATTTCGGTCTTCACTTATCCTTTGATTTTACAATCACAATCTTTACTTTTATATCTTTTATAATGTTGAGTTAATACAGTCTAGAGGACCAATCTAACTTGTTGGGTTTTATTCAATAACTTGGTTTCCAAAAACACTAAAAATGACAACGGAAGCTTTAAAATTATGAATAAACTTAAAGCTATTTTTAACCCACCAAGAATCATTTTGCAAAGCATTGAAAGATTAACACAACCATAGAAATAAAGAGATACAACATTTGAAGACTTTGATCCTCTTAAGAGGTTGGAAGTTAATGAAGAATGTAGAGTAAATATTCACCTCAACTAGAGACACCAACAATACTTCAACTTAATAAGATGCTAGTCTTGTATTCTTGTAACAAAAGAACACTCTTAAGCTTTAAGTCAAAACCCAAGTAATGACTTAAAGAGAGTTTGAAAGTATCAAACTTTTCTTCTAGTTTCTTAACACTTTAAGAAACGTCATATATAGAGAGTGCATGTGACTATTTTTAAGAATAAGAATCAAAAAAAGAAAGCCCCGATCTTTACTCTTATATACTCGGTAAAGAGTCTTTGAATAGTTTTAGACCCATACCTTTAACATGTCACAGGTAGAGAGGTATAATAAGGAAAAAGTTAGCAAGACAAGCTGAGCAACCAACAAAACCCCACAAGATGGACTGATCCTCGGTTTTTAGAAGAAAAAAGAAACACAAAAATGTGCAACACTCTTTTATTCCGTTATACACTTTGTCAAATATTTTTCTAAAAACTAGAGCCTATTTAGTTTATATAAACATATGACTTTTATAAATCATTGCATATGATTTTTATTTGATACTTTTTATATAAAATTATTATTTTCATAAAAATAGTTATTTCCAATTTATTACAAGAAATATAAATAAATATAACTATTTATCAATGATCAAATTCTTATAAATAATATATTTACATCAAGTTGTTGTTAGTGTGACCCTTTAGGATCATATATATTATCTAGCAAATATCATTCTATAATGTTTATTGAGAATAAAGATATTTCACTCTCCAACTTGCGCAAGATTAATTATAGGTTGATATAGAGAGTGGTAAACGTCTAGAAATATTTCACTGCCCCTAGTAATATATGACTTTGTGTCATTCTGTCAGCATCTAATTCCCAAAAGCTCAAAGTTGCAATTAATGGATAAAGTAAGTTCATCATTTATACTTTTTGTTATAGACATCATTTTAAATATGAGACTTAGATCACAATTAATCTCATTTGGTGTTCAACTATAGGTAATGCACATTAGATTTCTAGATCTCAACACATAAGAGGAAAAAATCTCATCTCGACTATATAAGCCTCTTATATAGTTCACACCACACCTAAAAATAGCCTTTATAACTGCCCAGTTAAGGACATATATTTGACCACATCAAAGCATAACACTCCCTAAACTTAAGTGTCACTATGTCTCTCATGTATTAAGGATAGAAATATAGTACCTTTTATCAAGTATCACTTATAACATCGATGTATTTGTGATCTTGATGTGGGTATTGTTGGATAAGGTGTCTAAGTCCATAACTATATTTGGTATGTACTTGACCCGATTTAGCATGGTCCATTTGGGTTGCACTTCACCATAACAATTTGGACTTTTCAGAAGAGGATATGTATGATTTATTAATATATTATAAGTTATAATATATTAATATGAAATCATATTATTTAATTGGTATTGGCCAATAATTAATTTGGAATTAATTTTGTGATCAAAAGAGACTAATTAAATAAATGATGATTGATTGTGTAAATCATTCATTCTTGTATAGTGGGCTTATGATCCATAATTCTTTATGTTGGGCTAAACCAATGTGGTGAGCCATGGATAATCCATGGATGTCAAAACCCATGGAGCATAAGGAATATGGAAAGTCATTCATATTAGGGTTTGCATGGTGTAACCCTAATCATGACTTACTATATAAGTAACCCCTTAGCTATCAAATCCGGCACTAGTGTGTGTGCGCAAGAGTGTAGCCGATTGTGTGAGCATTAGAGTTCTCTTCCAAGTTTCCAAGTGTTAGTGGTGATTTTTGATTCCACTTGACGCATTCACATTATTGGTGCTAGGCTCTTGAAACTCCAAGCAACAAGCTTCAACAAAAGGTATGTTATCTAACTTGTTTAATTACCCAAGTATCAAAGTTTTGCATGCTAGTTAGGGTAATACCTTGGATAATGAAAGTTTGCATGTATAATAGAGAAAACATAGATCCAAGGTATTTAGGGTTGCATATACACCTTAGGAGTGTTAGAATGCTCAAAACCGATCAGTGGTATCAAAGCCTAGGCTTGTTTTCAGTTATACTTGATGCTACTTGTTGTTTGAAGTTGAAAAAATCGAGTTTTATGCATTCTGACTGATGAACTCGCCGAGTCCACTGACAGAATCGATGAGTCCATGTACAAATTGAGCTACTCGACGAGTCCAGTTCATGGACTCGTCGAGTTGGCTGGGCAGAGTGCAGA